GACCCAGAGCTGACTCATGAGGCCTGTGTCTGGTTCACATTCATATCAGCACAGTGTCCTCACCTCATTGGTTCTTTTTTTCTTGAAGTATAAAGCAGAATTGTATATATTTAAAGTATACAGCATGACTTGATAAACATAGACATTGTGAAATAATTACCATAATCGAGTTAATGACACCTCTATCACTTCATATGGTTACCTTTTGTGTGTGTGTGTGTGGAGAACACTTAAAATCTACTTTCTCAGCAGATTTCAAGTACTAGTTGGTTGTTACTGTTTTATTGAATTGAGTTGAGTTGAATTGAGTTGGTTCCCCTTTCTTTCTAATTAAAAGCTCCTTGAAGGCAAGTTGGAATTGGCCTGTCACATAAAATCCTCCTCCCCCTTCCCCAAGCTCTTGCAGTTATACCAACAAGCCTGAAAGTCCTGCAAGCTCTCCAAACCAGTTAAGAAGGATCCACTCCTTCAGCTCTGTATATAGGGCATCATCTGAGGTGACAGTGGGCTTGCCTTACATCTTCAGACTGGCCTCACTCCAAACAAGGGGAATCCCTGTTTTAGGCTACAGAGCCAGATAGACCCAGCACCATGGAGAACGTAGCTTTCCCTTCCCACCCAGGGAAGCCAGTGCTCAAGGGGCTAACCCCAGGTCAGGTTGGGAGGGAACTGACACAAGCTATGCAATGTCAATCGTCTGACAGATTCCGGGTAGATTGGGAAAAGCTCTGAAAAATCGGACTTTCCACTGCTAGCTTGTGTTATGACCTCCCTTTTTTGTATAATTGTAATATCAAAATATTCTGAGCAACTTTCAGCTTACAATTGGACTGCCTAGGCCACACAAGGCCTGCCTGCCCGGACAAGCAAGCACTGCACCAGGGTAAAAAAATTCCCCTGAAGTCAAGTGATTTGACTACTGACTGATAAATAAAAGCAAAAGGGCTGTTTTTGCAAAGTCTCTTGTATTGCCGGATGGAGGATAACCCAAATCTTATCATTCTGTCATCTCACCTGGCCTTCTATTCAGCTTTTTAAAGAATTACTCAAACTTCCTATTGTTTGGCCTTTATATGTGGAAATTCATCCAGTTTGCCTGTTTTTTAAACTAATCAAGTTTTCCACCTACTACACCTTAAAGGAATCCACAAAAGTCTTCTGGCTAGTTTTTCAGGATTCTGCTATGTAGTCTTTAGATAAAGAAATCCACCTATGTCTCCTATTCAGAGATTTGATTAGCAAGGAATTTCCTCTTCTGTCTCCCAGGATGATTAAGGCAGAAAAACAAACCCATTAAATAGTAGATAAGGTTTAAGGGACTTCTATCTTAGTTGATCTCCACTATAGTTATATTAGTCATAAACTTTGTGCACTTATGTACCTGTTTTTAACCTTGATTGATTTTGGAATGTTATATCTCAGCTAAAGGGCAATACTACCCTAAACTGTTCTTAGGAAAAACAAAGATGATTGTAATCTCTCAGTCCAGTTCCTGTACTGATGTCATCCCACTGCTTACTCCTAATGTATAAAATAAACCTCTGCTGAAGACAGAGCAGGAAGACTTGCACCCAACTCTGACTCCCGTGTCTTCCTCGCCCCCCTTTCCCCTTTTTCTCTTTCTCCCCTTTTTAGGAATCTCCACTCGCCGACGCCTTCCCACCTTAGGGTCCTGCCTGTCTTGCCTCCAGACACCTCAATAGTTGGAGCTGGTCTCCAACAGGGAACTTGTTGGTCAGCACAGATCCCTGAGACTTCTGCTCTGAGATTGCCCAGAGCCAAACTTCCCAGGGCCTCCAGGTGACCCATGTCCATGTCACTCACCACTCATCCAATAGTCACCAGACTGACCAAGAGTAGACATCAGGCTGCTTGGAGCCAAGCTGGCAGGCTGAGACAGGACCTTGGAGAGCACAGCTCTGTGTTGGAGCCACTTTCCTCTGGCCTCCACCCCTCTTATCCAGAAATACTCAAGATCCTGGCTTCATCTTAGTTCTAGAAACTTCTAAATCTTAGAAATTATGCAGGATAGTTCCAACCACCCTGTGGGATAGGAAGGTGCTCTTCCCATGGCATGTGATGGTTGCCAGCTACTTCATTAGTCACAAGCTCAAGAATGAGTTTCCTACAGGAATTTCCATTCTGGGTGGATGTCAAGGCCACAGTAGCCTCTCCTCTTCTCCCTGTGATACAACCGTTCACCTACTACCCCTGTCAAGCTGGGCAGAGCTATGACATGCCCTTGCCTTTACCTTGGATGGCATACAGTCTCGTCCCCCATCAGGAAATCAAAGGAATCTGTGACTTCAGCTCCTGCCCAGAATGAACCCAGTTGCTATGGAAACCTGGTGCATTTCTCTGTTGTAGGGTGGATGGCTTTCATTTTGTATTTGAAGAGTTGGGCCAGGCAGTCATGTTACCTTGGCCTGGCCTGGCCTGTTGGCAGTGGTTAGGAACAAAGGGAGCTCCCTGAACTGCCATTTGGTTTCTCTAATTGAGGGGGCAGAAACCCCAGATCAGCTGTCTTGGGAGGATGGTGAAGCTGCTGGGTGCCATGCTGGGCATTCTCTCTTGTTCATAGATTGTACCTAGAGGTAGAGCCTCATGGGCTGAGGTCCCATCCTTGGCATGTTTCTCCTTCTACTTCTTCCTGAAGCTCATCATGGGGCCATGCCCAGAGCTGCTCTGTGTAATCCCAAGTCCCCAGGATCCTGGCAGACGGGGCCTTTATCACACAAAACAATTTTTTTTTGTATAGTTGACTCCTGAGCAACACGGCTTTAAACTGTATGGACCCACTTACATGTGGATTTTCTTGTAAACAAATGACATAAACTCACAGTGTTAATAAATGAAACACAGTACTGAAAACATATTTGATGTGATATTCTTAAAATGTTTTCTCTACTTTATTGTAAAGCTCAAGATTCAGGGAAGGGAGAAAGGGAAACTGAGGCTCATTAAGGTGGCTGCCTTCCCTCCCTATGCATTTTTGCAACTGTTTTTGCCAATCAGCAGCCCATTGTATCACAAGAGAAATATCACAGGCAGACCCTAAAAACAAGGTAGTAACCAGGAGACCATTCTCCATATGACATGACTTGACAGATTTGTCTTAAAATGTGTGTCAGATTCCCATAGTGGGTTTACTTTCCCCTCGGAATTCCTCAGGTATGGAAGCTGTGGCTTTTCCTTTTGGGATGTAGGTTATGAGAAGATGGCAAACCATAGGGGAGCAAGGAGGAGGGAAGGGCAGGATGCTTGTTGACGGGACAGTGGAGGATGCATTTGGCCCAGACCATGAGGCGAGAGAGACAGAGTCAAGGGACCCCTCAGTCCCTAATCTCCCTGTGAGTGGGGATAAAGTGGAGTGGGGGCAGGGGAGATGGGGAAGTCTTAGTTCAGTCTTTGACTAACACCCAAAATCCATGCCAACCAGAACTCCCTGTTACCTTGCTGTGCTGAGAGTGTTTTCCTAAGCTAAGTAGAACTCTATCCAACATTAATTTCTTTCTAATTTAGCCTAACTTCTGCATGACCATGGATCCTTCCACGGACTTCTGGGGTGATTTCCTGGCCAGAATGTACTGATATTATGCCCTCTCCAGAGTGCTAATTCATGCTAGGTCCCCGAACCCGGCCCTGCTAAAGGACGGCCTGTAGTCTTAACACAGCTGAACTGTTACAGGGCAACCCCAGTGTGAATTGGGTTGCTTAACTGTAGGTCCTCACCCATGTGCTAAAGGCACTTACAAAGATTTAACTGCAGACACGCACAAAAAGGTTAATAATGGGTTTATTTACAAGGGAAAGTGAAAATGAATAACTCAGGGGAAAAGAGAGAGAGAGAGAAGCTTTTTAATGCGTCCTACCATTTTTGCTTACCTGGTACCCCAATAGCACACTGAAAACTGGTGAAAAACAAGAGCTCAACCACAAGACATGAGGCCAAGAGACCCCCAAAGGCCACATGTCCAGTTTTATTAGTCATGGCTGCTTAACCCTTCCCTCTGGTCCTAGACATCCTCCTTTTGGTAATGGGATTTGTAGTTCTGGTGTCTGGGGTGGGGTGGAGTTCACAAAACCTCTACCTGCAGAGTTCGTTTGGGACATCCTTTCCCCTAACATAACCTCCTTGAGAACAAAGTTTGTGTCTTCCTTGTGTGTGAACCCCAAGACTGAGCCTGGGCTGGGCACACAGCAGAAGCTTTTTCAGCTGCTTGGCCTTGGCCCATCCTTGCAGTTCGGCAGCCGGGAACCTCAGCTTGCAGAGGTTAAGGCGGGTAGGGACATCACCAAGTCCAAGCTTCATGCTATGGGAGACTAAGACCCCTCCATTAATGCTGAAAATGAGAGTAACTGCTTCTTACTGTTGACTGTATGTTGGACAGGATTCTCTGCACTCCGCTACGCTAATCCAGACCATTGCACCAAGACACCTGTGCAGCAGGAATTACCTCAGCCCCACATGAGGGAACAGAGGGACAGAGAGGTTCAGTTACAGAGCTAGGTGGTGTTAGGGGCAAGAGCCGGCCATAGAAATGGGGCTCCAGGGCTCACCCCATCAGTACCACTCAGTTGCGCTGTCTGAGCCAGAGCACCACCCATCACACCATGGGTCCCTTCTCTGAATGAGCAGGAACCTGGGCCTGTGAGTTCACTCACATAGGAAACAATCTCATGTGCCCTCTAGGACTTAGTTCAGAGCCTGGCATGGGTCAGAGACCTGTTTCTAATACAAATAAGCTGTTCCTCCTCCTCATGAGCCAACCCGACTGGGTGTGCCGTCAAACAGGAAGAGGCCTGGGGAAGCAATCAGCTGTTTGCAGGAAATGGAGGCCTGGAGGGTGGTGTGTCTTAGCCAGGTTCTGAACTGCATGGCAGAGCTTGGGCCACACTAGCAAGCCCTCGGAAGAGGCCCTCCCCTGGTTCAGCCTAGCCACCCTCACGAGGTGAGGGTTCCATTCTGGCCACACTAACGGGCTCTCTGTCCCTGCCAGCTCTTCGTGATTGACAATGGTGCGGACGACTGGCGGATAGCCATGACCTACGAACGCATCCTCTACATCAGCCTGGAGATGCTGGTGTGCGCCATCCACCCCATCCCCGGCGAATACAAGTTCTTCTGGACGGCGCGCCTGGCCTTTTCCTACACGCCCTCGCGGGCGGAGGCTGACGTGGACATCATCTTGTCCATCCCCATGTTCTTGCGCCTGTACCTGATCGCCCGCGTCATGCTGCTTCACAGCAAGCTCTTCACCGATGCCTCGTCCCGCAGCATTGGGGCCCTCAACAAGATCAACTTCAATACCCGCTTCGTCATGAAGACCCTCATGACCATCTGCCCGGGCACCGTGCTGCTGGTGTTCAGCATCTCGCTCTGGATCATCGCTGCCTGGACGGTCCGCGTTTGTGAAAGGTATTCCTGCGCTGGGGGTGGGGGTGGGGAGTGAGGATCAGCGGTGGTGACCTGTATAGAGAAGGTCTGCTAGAGGAGTCAGGTGTGTCTCCAAACACCTCAGAGGAGGAAACGGGAAAGGGGAGGGCGGAGCAGGATGAATAGGGGCTGCAGTCATGAAACACTGGAGCCAAGGTAAGCTGGGAAGAACACTTTCATGGTATTCCCCCGTTTTCTGCTCTTTCAGTAAGCCAATGTATCAGGCGTCTGTTAACCTTTTCGCCTGTAGAACATTTTGCACTTTCTGTATTTTCCCTTCCTCTTGGAGAGGAAGGATGCTCACCAGCATTTTGAAGGCTCTGCGAAGACCTGCAGTAATGAAACTGAATTTTGTTTAGTCCAGATTTTCTCAAAAGTGTTTGTCCACCAGCCCGTTTCATCATACGGCATTATCGTTGCTTGGACACTGTCTAGTTTGGTCCACAGACCAGCAACATCAGCGTCACTGGGAACTTGCTCAGGCCTCGCCTTGGAACTACTGAATAGGATTTGCATTTGCTAGTGTCACCCGGTGGTTTGTATGCCCCTTAATGCACTAGACTCATGCAGCACCCTTTGGTGTCTGGTGGCTCAGAAGTGGCTGGTGGGAGAAAAGGGGGGCATGGTCCAGTAAACTTGGGGTTCTAACACTTGATGCCAGCCTTTCCCATCTGTCATCAGCTCCGCTCATGGTTGAGACTGTTGTCACTGCCTTCCTCTGACATACTCAACTGCCCCTGGTGATTCTTCCTCTCTTCAAGCTAGTCCTTTTTCATTTTAATCTAATTCCACATGTTAGAGTCGGAATACTTTGGTTGGAAACTGGGGTTCTGTCCCTAAGTATCTGTGAGACCTTGGGAAGATACTTAATCTCTCTGGGCTTCAGTGTCCTCTCGTTTTTGCATCAAAGAATGGAGTGCAGGCCAGAGGTGTGGGAGGAGAGAGGATTCTCCAGAGACAGGGTGGGGAATAGAACTTGCAGACTGACTATAGTACACTGCTGAGGGGAGACAGGAGAGGTCTGCTATGCCATATGCGGGTCAGCTCCCTGGCCAGGATCGAACTCTGGCCGTAGCAGTGATAGTACTGACACTTAACTCCTAGCCCTGTCTTCTCATTTTAAAATGAGGATCTCTGGGGAGAGAGTGAAGATCTACTTATTTGAGACAGATTATTTTTGCAATAAATAATTACAGTTATTTTTATAGTTTATTTTATGTGGAGGGACCCAGTCAAGCATCCAGTGTGAATGACACGGACCCAGCAGACACCATTCACTCATCAGCGCCATCATTTTGCAGGATCTCCCAAGCCCCACTGTCCCAATCGAGGGAACGCTAGAAAACAAGTCTGCAGAGGGGTTAACTTAAGAACATCTCACATGGCTACGTCTGACCAGATTTCCTACCTATTTTGAGACATTCTATTTGCAGACATTTCTTTGTGGTATTTGGCCAGCAGGTACACAGTCCAACGAAGAGCATTCTGCTGTAGCAGCCAGGCCTTAAGGATGGCTGGCCTCTATCTGAGGCCTCATGCAGTGCTGGGAGATGCTGCTTGACCACAAAGCCCCAGGGACACACCACATGCACCTGCTTAGACCCCGCCATCACTCAGCCTCTGGCATGAAACACCTGCTCCAGCAGGACCCCATGCCATGCTGCTTCCAGAAGTTCTCTGTTCACTGACATTATCTACAGTGGATGTAACATATACTTGAGTCCCAACACCGAACTCCTCACAGTTTTCATAGCTGAGCAATGTCATATAGGTCACATAATCTCTCTGGGCCTCATTTTCCCCCCTCTGTGAGCTGAAGATAACAATATCTGCTTTTACAGGATTTGTTGTTAAAGTCAACAGATAGTGTGTGTGGACTGTACACAGCCATACAGTCAGAGTGAGAATTAATAATAGTCACAGAAATCCCTTCATCTCTTGTGAACTTTATGGCTGCCTTCTTATCATTAGTATAAACCAGCTTCTACCATAGGTAGACCTAAGTTTTCCCTGTTTCCTTTCTAATTGCTTGAAGCAAAGGCTCCTAAGACAGGAATAATAGAATTTGCATAACACTTTAAGGTATTTGAAATCTTCCATGTCCTTAAATCAACCCTGTTTGGACATGGCTTGTCACCCCATTTTTCAGATGAGCGAATGGACTGAATATGGAACAAATAACTGCAAGTGAGTTTCATTGTTTATTAAATCTTTCACAAGTATGAGTAACTATTTTTTTTAGTGGAAAGTAAGCCTGCTTTACGGCACACAGCTTGCAAAGTACTCTGTTGCTCTTACTGTCCATTGAGTGGCGCACCAAGGCTGGGCCACCCTGGGCCCGGCGGAGCACCAGACCACCCTCTGCAGAAATGACCTTCTGGCCCTGCAGGAGTCCAAGGCAAAGGCGCAGAGAAGCAGTGAGCAAACAGTTCTAGAGTTTCCCCCCCTCCCAGAAGCCCTGCTCAGATCTGGCACGAGGGGTAGTAAGCACAGGGGATGTCATCATTGCCCCTGTCCTTGGGGGCTGGCCCGGTGCCAGTGCTATGGGAAAGGCTTCAGAGGTGTCATCTGTCTTAGACCTATGAGAGGCACCCCAGCTCTGCCCATTTACAGGTGTGGAAACTGATGAAAGGTAGCAATCCTGGGGCCACAGCTAGTAAATGTGAAGCCAGAATTTGAAATGGATTCTGACTCTAAACTTCATGTTTGTCTCCCCATGTCTGTCTGAATCCCACACTGACAAAGAGACCATGGCCTGGACTCTCCCGGTGGCTTTCCTGATCTGAGTGTCCCAGAGCCACAGAGACTGACGCATGCTCTTCTGCCTGCCTGCCCGGGCTGTGCTCATCTGCAGTTTATCGGCCTCTCTTCAGGCAGGACTGACTTCATGTAATGCAGATATACCTGCGTGTAGGTGGTGCCAGGTGTGCCGTCCTGATATGCCCCCAGCCTCAGCCCAGGCTCTCTTTCTCTCAGCTGGGCTGGGCCCCTCACCTAGAATGGCACTGGCTGAAAGGAGTGGCCTCAGCACAGGTCAAGCCCAGTGCCCTGTCTGGGGGCAGCAGGGATCAGATGACTTGTCTGTGCAGGCGTTTAAAGGCCCAGCAGGGCAGCTCTCACTGGGACTCCAGGTACCCCGGCTCCTAGGGCTTTGCAGGAGGCCCTCATGTGATTTTGTGATGCTTTCTGCTTTTGCCCAGCCTACTTCCCTGGATCTCACAGAAGCTGAGCCTGAGAGCAGCCCAGAAAGCGCTCAAATCTCAGCATCTCAGAGACTCCCGGGAACCTGATCTACAGAACTGACAATATTTGTGAACAAGTAGGTTTTTTTTCCAATCAGGCAAAGAACTGCTCTTCACAAGACAAGGCGATTTCTTAGGGAATCAAGCTTGAATCATAATTGTCCTTTCCCAATGTCAAGTAAGTAAGATTGGCAGAGACACAATTATTTACCGAGAGGTTAGACGATACTGCTTTGGGGACCGAGGTGTCAGACCCAGCTGGGAAGGTGCTGCGGGCAAGTTGACCTTGATTTCTCCCAGTCTGCTAAGAGGATGATCCACCCCTTGGACAACAGAGAGGGTAAATGATTTGCCCACGGTCACAGAGGAACCTGATGGGTCTATAAAAATTCTTGTCTTCTGATGCCCAGAGAAAGCCTTGTTCACATTCCAGGTGGCTTCCATCAGCCTGGACTTATCTCTGGTTGTATACACACACTTCTGAAGTTGCTATGGAAATCCCTCCTCAGCAAGACATATTTTAAAAGACATTTCTCATATCTGGGGTTGACTTTTATGTGACCATAAAGGTTTTTCATATTTCCTCCTCCCAAGGAGGGAGAGAGAATTAGTGCTCACCCAGGACAGCCTGCCACGGCAGGGGAGGGGCCGGCCTGGTTGCCAGGAGGGCAGCGACAACAGCAGGCTTGTTTTCCTTGGACCCCAGTGAGGCATTACATCATGGGTTCTGAGGCTGACAGTTGTGGCACTCGGCATTCTCTGGGATTCTCCTGGCCGTGTGCCCACCTCCCACAGGCCTCAGAGAGCCCATCTGAGGAAGCTCCTCATTAAACACTGTCACATGCCAGGCAGCCTTGCTGGTGGAGAGACCATCCGACGCCCCGGGACGAGCAGCAGCAGGTTGGGAAGTGGGCTTTCCTGGCACGCCTGAGCAGAGGCCTGCCAGCTTGCACTGGGGTGTTTATCTCCTCGGGAAGAGCTGCAGGGCCTCCCATCACAGTGATGGAGTGGGCTGTCTTGTGATCCCCAGCCAGGCTTTGTAAATGACCTTCCCGCCTCTTGAATGGACCGACTCCCTGTGGATGGTTGGCTCCTGGGGCAGCAGGCTCTGCTCATAGGCTGGCTTAGGTCTTTGGAAGTGATGGCGCACATTTCCACCTTTTACCACATCTTGATCTTGAGAAATCTGGTTCTGGAGACCTGGCCCTGGAATGGGAGGAAAATAACCATCGGGCCATTCTCTGACTAAAGCAGAGCTACCTTCCCATTGTAAGAAAGAGACAAAGCCTGCTTCCTCCCTCTTCTGCCCACCTCATGCAGCTGGGTCTACACCAAGTTCAGGGAGAACCAACAGTTCCCACCGCCCCCCACCTCTTTTCCATAACCTTCCACCAACTCTGGCAGGGGCTCTGAGTTCTAAGAAAGAGCTGAGAGCAGTGGGCCCAGGGTCGGGTTTCCAAGGCCACGACTCCTCACAGGCGCCCTCCATTTGAGGCACAACTTCCAGCATGGACCAGCATAGCAGCATCTAGGGTGGCAGGAGGAAGGGGCCAGCACTTGCACTCACAGTTATTTTAATCTAAAAAAACCTTAAGCTTTACTAACATTTTTTAAAATTTTACAAAAGTTTATTTTTACATAATTTTGTACATTTTTTTCCCATCTCAATGTAATCCCCGTGGGTTTCCCATCACCAAGTCACCCGTGTGCCATCACCATAATCCCGTGCACTTCCCTCCCCCCCCATTTTTGATCCCATCCCCCACTCCACCCCCACAAAATGTCTCTGGTATATGGTTGTTCATTATTTTTGTTATTTTCCACCTGGTCCATTATACTCCTGCTATGAGTGAAACCATCCGGTATTTTTCTTTCTCTTTCTGGCTTATCTCACTAAGCATGATCTTTT